AAGTGTCGTCATAGCTGACTGAGAGCCACAAAACGGGGCCGATGGATGGATGGATGGATGATGTTGGGGATGCCAGCAACAGCAGCAGTATCAGCAGTGTAGACAAAAAAGCAAAAAAGCTGGAAAAAAAAACTTGATTCCTCTTCTTTCAGCTTTTTTTAGCATATCTCAAGCAGAAAACTAAATTATTATTATTATTATTATTATTCAGATACAGCTATTGATATTATTTTTTTTATTTTTTTTTTTGCTTATTTAACCGCAACAATTGAGCAACAAAAAGATAAAGAATAAAGAAGAGAAAAAAGAATAAAATTTTTCTTTCTTTAATGCACTATTGGATACACTTAATCTAAAAAAAAGTATATTATTAAAAAAAAAGTAATAATAAATTTAAGACTTAAAAAAGATAATTTTTTTTTTTTTTGCTTATTACATTTTTGCTGTAATTAAAGTTGGTGTAAAAATTATTACTAGAAAAATGACAATTGATAGATTTCCTTATGTTTCTTTCTTTCATTTTCACCTCCCCACTCCTATTCATTTATCTCCTCCTCCTCGTCCCCCTCCTCCTCTATCTTTGTCGCATCTGAACCCCAATACAAATCAATTTGGATCAGTTTATATGTAACACTTAATTCTTCAATTATTAAACTTTTTTTTTTTTTATTTAAATACTATTTAGCAATATTTTTCAACTTAACATCAACTAAAACAAATATTTGGTTATTCAGCTGCAGCATTTATAAAAATCAAATGCTGTAGCAGCGGCACTTTTTGACAAACTTATTTATTCCCACAAATTTTATCATAAAAAATCTTTTTATAGCAACTTTATTCTGTTTTTTGCTAAAATTCAGTGTTATTGGTTAAAATATGGTTAAATTTCATTTAAAAAAAAAATTTAATTTTTTTTTTTATATTTTTTTTGGCATTTTCAAAACGCAGTTAGATAACGAAGAATCAGTGATTAATAAATATTTATACGAACATATTTAATGCACTTAAAGTGATAATAAAATGTAACGTTATCAATATTTTTTTCTCTCACCATTTAATAAAATTTTTGAACATTTTTTTTTTTTGTTTTATAACAAATACAAATAAATTATATAATTTTGTTTTATTTTTAAACAATTTATAATTCAGCTCAGCTTAGTTAGAATTTTTAAGCAACAACACATTCAAAAAAAAAGGAACAGTCTAAAAGCTTGAACAACATACTGCTTTGGCTGCACTTTCGATAATACTGAATAGTACTGAATGCCGTAAAAAAACTGCAAATGTTTGTCATGCAAAGAAGGAAGAAATACGGAACAAAAAAAAAAAACTATATAGATGACAGACTTTAACCAGCAAAAAAAAAAAAAGTTGAAAATTACTGCAGCTATACATTAATTTCCAAATATCGATACTGCTGCAGTTTCTTTCAAACGATAAATGATTGCAAATGCGTATGAAGGAAGAAAGCCGAAAGGTCATGCATTGCCTGTTGGGAAAACATTTTCATGATCTTTGCATCTGCTTAACAGCTTGTTTAACTTATGCTAAAATTACAGCAAAACCATGCTCTATTCTGTAAAAAATCATTCGCTTCTATTCTCAAATTATGCTAGATTTTTCAGATGAAATTTATAGTTTTGAAGATAGAAATTGTATTCTAACAGTAAAGTTGGTATGTAGCAGACCACCAAACTTTTATACTTGAATAAAAGTAAAACCAAATTTTCCTTTATTATAAACTGATAACTCAGGAAAAAGCTGCTTCTTTCTCTAGAATCATCCTCTAGTCTTTTAAGCTTACATTAGCTATCTATAGCTGTAAAGTTAAAGCTGCTAAGAAGAAGCTTTTTCCTAAACACCTATTTTCTTCCACCGTTATGATTAATCTTTCCTCCTCTCCTTCCGCCTGTCACATCCTCTCAACAAAAAAAAAATTGCTGTTAAAAGTTTCATAATTTAGATTATTTGATAATTTTAACAAATTTAGTTTTATGTTAATTCTACAGAATAGTTATTTGTTGCTAAGAATTTGTATTTAGCACAATCTTTCTTACTTTAGTGAAAGCTATAGACAACAAAGAAGTGCTAAAGGACCGGAAGACTTCATAGTGTTTTTTGAAATTATGCTGTAATGTAAACCAACAAATCTTCATTTAGAAAATTCAAGCTATAAAAGTTCTTTTTAGAAGGCTTTCTATCTGTAACAAACAGTAAAACTTTTTTTGAAGAACTTGAGATAGTAGCCAAACTAAGGCAATTTTTTGTTTAAATAATTAACCAAGTTTTAGAATCTTTATTTTTAAGTGTACACTTGCTAAATAATTCTTGTTATTTCTTGTTCTTCTTATGCTATGTTAAGCTGTAGACGAAGAAATGACAAAGATAAAAGTGCAAATCGAGAGATAGATGTCAAAAAACGTTAATTGTTTAAAAATTATATAAAATTAGCAGAAAGATAAAAAAGTTATGAAAAATTGTTCTTTGTTGTTGTCAAAATATGAAGTGGTATAAAAGTGGAATCAGCTATTTAAAACAAAATTAGTTGAAATCAATAAAGCAATTTAAATTTTTTAACATCAACAACTATAACAGCAACAATAATACAAAATTTATAGATGCTAACCAATAAAAAGCAAAAAAAAAGGACAAGTTTCACGATATAGACGATTCAACTTTGCTGCTTTATTGGGAGTAGTTCAGAATTGTTCACGCAAATCTACTGTCGATATATTGACAGTTGCCAATAGATAATAAATTTTTTTTTGTGGTAATCATATGGTACACAGAATCAGTGAACCAAATGTATAAACACAATTGCTAAGAAAATTTTTATTGCTCGTTAAAATGAGTAAATTTATTGTAAAAAATAATGCTGGAGAAGTGCTTTATCGCAACAACAATGCTATTGGTGCTATTGAAAAAGAAAAGAAAAGAGAATCTATACTCAAGAAACCAAATAAATGACAACAATTTACAGTTATCGTTATGGCTGTTACAAGTGCCGTCTAAAGACGTCTCTCATACACTTCTGACTTCAAGTATCAGTACTCTTTCTGATGATTTATATAAAGAATTGTTCAAATGCTACTTATGATAACTTTTTGATCTGCAAAGCATTTTTAATCTTTGATAAGAACGCTTTGAATCTTTTTTTGGATAATGAAGCACTATAATGTGTGAACAACTAACATCAAGATTAAATCGTATTAAGGATATATGTATATATTTACTTTGATTGCTGAAGATGCTACTATTAGACTAAAGTCATCATCATTGTCATGCTGTCTTTCTTAGTGCAAAAGTACTTTAATCTGGTAAAAAATATTTTTGCATTATTCTCTGTCGTAAAGCAGTGCAATCCCAATATAAAGTCTTTAGGAGATTTAAAGCAGATAATCCATGTTGCTAACTCTTTTATAATATCATACTTGCTTAACAAAATTTTAAACATGTGCAGTAATGCAAAATAAGATTTAATTTTTTCTTCTTTTTTTTTTCTAAGTTATAATTCTGTTATTCTGATTAAACCCTATCTTAAATTTACACAGAACTTTTTCCTTTGTGCTTTTATTTTTTGAACAAATTTTTGTACAAATTTTCTTACATTGTACAGCTAATAAAAATTCAAAATATTCTCATTGGATAATTTATCGACAATTTTGTATTTATTGTTAAAAAACAACATTTTAGATAGCTTTTCCTAAAAAGTTCAATAAATGCTGTGAACCATTATAGAAGATTCCTTCAAAAACAGTAAACTATATTAGTGCACTTCTGTAGAATCAATAAGAACAAACTTGACAATAGATCGCTGTTGCAAATGACGTTCAAATATAAATTTTGGTCAGCAAATCTTATAATCATTTTCTATAAACTTTACACTTATAGTAATCAACTGAAAGAAGTTCTAAACAGTTAAATAAAGTAAATTTTAAATAAACTTTTAAGATAACTAAAAAAAAGGTTACTTCTGAAACAAGTGATACAAGGTTTTGATGTCGCAGCTTAACAACAAATTTCCTCTTCAAATTGATCAGTTTTATTAGCCGATACCAAAAATAGTCTTATATACTGTACATAAGTTGAAATTTGAATTTTAGACAACAAAAAAAACTTCCTAAAGTTACTTGTCAAATGGTAAAGCCAAAATAAACACACTGTTCGAACTGTTGAATCTGAGAAAAGATTTATAGAAACAAATAAAGCAGACGATTTGATCTACCAGAAATCATCCAAAAACGTTTCAACTATTTTCAGTTAATTATTTTTATGCTTTGATTGAACAAAATACGAATTCGTTTTCAGTTGCAAATATTCTGTGTAAACGATAATAATTGTTAAAAATAAGAAAACTTTATTAAGTGAATTAATACAACATAATTTTTACAGAAAAATGTACGCATAATTAGTATAGAGACATAGCTGATAAAGCACCGCCAATATGCAATCCCGTCTTATAACTATGTGAATTATCTCATTCAAGGACAATAAAAAAGTGAAAAGCTCAACTTGTATTCATTATTTTAAAATTGCACCACTTTTTTGCGAAATATAAATTAATTCGCCAGGAAAATTATTAGTGATTGGTTTTTTTTCTTACTGAAGAATATTTCAAATAGACCACAGCATTTACAGCTACTGAAAAATTTCAATTTGATCAAATTGTCAAAATGTTTTCAGCAGATATTCTTTCATAAGTATCTGATATATACTCTATCACTGTGACGATACTCAGTTACTGTGAAGTTAACTATCGTTTGTGCTGTTTTGTTCATAACAGCTTTAATATACTTAGTCTAATGAACTTAATCTACTGTTAATGCTGTAGTCAGCATAAAGGCTTTGAAGCTTCACTGCATTATTAATTGTTACTATTATCACAAATTGTCGCTTGTAAAGATTAGCGCCAACTAAATTATTTCATAAAATCACAAATTCTGCAATGAATTTTCAATAGCAATTATTATTGCAAATTATCTCCTTCGGTAACCATACTCTTAACTCAAGAAGCTAGGTGAAGCTACAACTGAACTGATTGTTAAATTGCTACCTATCAGTGGTGACAACGCATGTGGACTACAAACGAGAGCAAAAATGTACTGTGGTGAGAGAATGATTGGTGAAAGAACAAATGGACTTAGTATGAGTGGAGACATTGCCATAGGATTTAGTATCAATGGATTTAAAGCCATTGGTGAAAGAATGAATGGGGTTCCTACTTGAGGTGAAAGAATAAAAGGTGTTAGTACACTCGGTGACAAAATAAAAGGGTTAAATATCCCTGGTGACAAGATAAATGGATGAAGAACTAGCGGTGATAAAATTACTGGTGCAAATGCTAGTGGATTTAAGATTACTGGAGACAAAACCCTAGGTGAAAGTATAATCGGAACAAAAAGCCATGGACTAAGTACAAATGGACCAAGGACGGCCGGAGACAGCACTACTGGAGACAACAGTACGGGTGATAAAATAATTGGGTTTGAGAGCGTTTGCGGTACCAGAACCAGAGGTGTCAAAACAACCTGACGTTTATATCTAGTAGGCTCTTTCCTTTTTAGAGAGACTTTTCCTGGTTTGGAGAACATCGCTATGTCATGCTCTATATATCGCTGTAATTCCTCTGGATCTTTGATAGAAGTAAGTCTTTTCAGCACATCAGGTGAAGAATAAGGAGAGTCTTTTCCGTACAAAAAGTGCAACTGCTTTTTACTAAGCATGGAATATCCAGTCGAATTCATTTCTTCTATCTGAAATACGTGAACACCACTTAGATCGACAGTGCCTCTACAAAATCCTAACTTTTTCAGCTATTAAAAATTCTAGTATTTTTAACAAACAGCATTACGAGATGAGTTTAAACATTACCTGTCTAGGATTCAAGCTTTTATGCAAACTTTCAAATGTTTCAACCCTTCTAAGGCCGTCTTCGCCGTATATTTCGGTAACATTTTCTTTTGTAAAATATAGCGGCTGTCCATTAGCTCCCTTCATATTTTTTATGTTTTTTTCTTTCTCGAGCGGTTTTAGTTTCTAAAATCTTTTGGCATAAACAATTTTTTACCATTCTTTAGAAGCAAAATAAACAACCTTAGCGTCGTCTACGATGTCTGAAACTCCAGAAGCTTCAGCAATCAAGTCCAACATCTCTTCTTGATCTTGCTTTTGTAGCATTTTGGTAGCTTTTAACAAATTTGAAATACTAAACGCTTTTTCAGCGCCTTCCCCTTCATTGTGTAAACTCAGTAACGACGGTGATAAGACATTAATCTGAAGCAACTTCTCAGTTATATTTCTGTAAAATAGTTGAACAAATGTAGGATTCTGTTGCCTATAATTACTGCGTAATTTTCTGCAAAAAAAAAAGAAAAAAAACATTTAAATATATAGCTTAACAATGTATCAGAACTTGCATGATTATCGTTGTCGTCAGGAACTACAGAAAAGAATCGGGGCGAAGCCAACTTAATTGTTTTCTTATCAAAATCACTGATATTTTTGCCAGCCATCGTCATACCCAGTTTGATTGCATTGCGGACCAGAAATGGCGTATTCAGTGGATCTTTTCTTTTCATGTTACTATAAGCTGCATATTGCTGTCTTAATGATGGAGGTAGGATTTTGAAGATTGGATCATTCTACAACAATGTTTTAGCATTACTTTTATTATTAAAAATTGTTTGAAAGAACCAAACGAGGAGTGATTTGCAACTGAGCTAACGTTTTGATAAATCAATTTTATATTGCTAATTCTGACTCCTGCTATACTCTTCTCGTCAAATATAGAACACAAATTTATATCATTCGCTAACTTTAAACTTCTAAAATTACTCGTTTTTGTTGCCAAAAAATACTGTTCAAGGTAATGAATTGCATTAAAACTACTGCAAAATACACTGTGTAAAATTTTCCGCTCTGTAAAATAAAAAAATTTTTCAAGTGAAGTCATTATAAAAAAAAAAGATTCAGGGAAAGAGAAAAGAAGGAATGCAGAGTAAGAAAAAAGGAAGAAAAAAAGACTTAGAAGGTGGTCTAGTGAAATTTTTTTTTAAAAGCCTTATTTTTAGTGTACAAAGCGTCAATTTTTTGACATTAGTAAATCAGTAGGACTGTTCCAAGGTGGAAATGCAAAAAAAAAGTAAATTGATTGTTAACTATATTTTCATTTCTAAAATTTCCTCCTCTAATACGTTAATTATAGATTAGGAACACGGATAAAGAAGGTTATAAGAAAAGCTTAGTAATTAAACGAGATGTTATAAGTGTTGATACGATCGATGTTGCAACCAAACGAAATTACTGTTGAAAACTTTTGAAGTGTTTAAATGAGAGTAAGAGTATTAGTTGCCCCGATACGACGACCTACTTGCTGCTGTTTTGTAATTGGTTTCGCCCCGTAATCTGCGGTCGAAGCGTTTGCTTCAGATTCCTTCTTATGCATTTGATTTTCAAGTTGTCGCAACTGTGCAACATCCGCTTTCCACCTAAAGTAGTTTTATAATACTGCCTACATTTAGGTTATTTTATTTGGTTTTATAAATTACACTGCCGTATCGCTGGTTTTAACATCAAAATTACTAGCAAGTAATAACTACGAAAGAAAAAGTGGACAGAGAAAATATTCCTTGAGAAATGATAATGTCATAAATTTTGTTATGAGTTATCAGAAGTTAGTGAAAGTATAAAATAGAAAACTTTACACACATTTTATTATATTAAATATACACTTACGATCTATCTCGTTCTTTGTTTTTCATTCTTCGAATAGTTCGTGCTAGCGATTTCAGCAGAATTCCCACTGGACTGTTATTTTCGTTGGCTGATAACAGTTGATAACTGCTCTGTTTTATCACTTTCATCTCGCGTGGTGTTTCAGTTTTTGGGCTGTTGGTGGTAATTCCACGAAAATGTTCCGCTGTTTCGCCATTATCAACGTTATCCCTCAGACGACGTCTCATAAACAAGTCTCTTTTTAGGGCGCTTAGTTGGGGTGATTTATATTTATTACGCAACTCCGAATACTTGCCATGCAACTTCTGTAGTTTGATCATTTTTTTGGTTTCTTTTAATTCATTCCTTGAACTTACGGTACTGTAGGTTTCAGTAACAAAAACGTTTTCTGTTGTTGTACGTTTTGGTAACGGCGTAGTTCTGGGCTTCTCTAAAATGTGTTTCTTTTTCCTCATTTTTATTATCATTTTTTATGTAAAAAAGTTTATGAAACTTTGATAACATTTTGAAAAGCAGATAAGAAACACTACGTAATCTATCGCCAGTTTTAAAGCTGTCGAAATCATAAGCTTTAGATGCTTCGATAGCATTCACAACGCATTTGGCATGCTTGTTAATGGTATTTGCACGCTTTGAACATCTTGTGAAGCTACGTTTTTTTGCTACAGGTAAAGCAGTAATGCTAAAATTAAAACTGTTTTAAATGCAGTGTGAAAAGCAGAGAAACTTTTTCTTGCAGGAAAAAACCTTGAAATTTTAACATGTGAAAATTAGCAGAAATAATTAAGCAAACAATTAGATCACCTTTTTGCAGCAAATGCAGACAGGAAGCTACTGTAGGCCTGGAGAGTCCAATGTTCTAAAAGATCCACTTCAGATTTTATCGTTATTGGGATATTAAGTTTTTTGCCGTCATAATATTTTTTGTTTATCATCACATCATCAGGAATCAGGGCACTAATTTGACTGAGCAATAATGCGATAATAAGTAGTCGAAACTGGCTTGAAAGCAACCAAGAAAGCATCTTTTCGCTGTGGTCAAAGACCTTCAATTGAACTTCAGTGTAAAAAATAGAGATTTTTTATTGTTAGATTTTCAGAAAACACCGTATTTGCTGTTCAACTTAATCGTCCCTTTAAGCCACTGGTACTTGAAGCGCGTGAGCAAGAAGATGAGCGTCAGCAACTACAATTACCCACCAAATCTGGCAGCAACTCCTGAAAAAAAAATTTGTCTAAAAACAAACTGTTGATCCAGCTGGAAACTGAGGTTTTACCACAACTAATCTTCCAGACAGAAGTATTTTGTCGATAATTGACAGTTTTTATTGAGGTTATTGGTTCAACAAATGTTTTAATGCAAATTTTACATTTACGGCAACTGAAGGCACTTAGCGGCAATGTTTGCTTCTTTATCCATGACCTTTTTTTTTTTTTTTTTTTTTT